CCTTCCTCTTAGTTTGTTAATAAGGAGTATTTGGTATGTATTTTCTCAATCTTTTTTTTTCTAAAGGTTGCCATGAAGGCCACTTTAGATGAGAAAGACAGGTAAAAGTGAACTACACATTTCCTTAATATTTACTTTCTTGATCAGATACTTTTGCTTACATGACATCAGCAAGGTTTACATACATATTTGATCTTCCAGTTAATACATTTAAATATTGACACTTACTGGTGATCTCTCTGATGCCCTTGTCTCATTTTTCAGGATGATAGATGATTTGAGAGGGTCTCTTGCTTCTGTACAGGCAGAGAACAGGGTTAGTTGGTTTTTCAACACTTCTCAAATTTCTTTTGACTGATTTTCGAATCCTCTGTGTTTAGGTGGTCAAAGTATTTTTTCAGACCCTGGCTAAGATTGAGCTTACTCTGTGATGATCTGTAACAATGAAGGCAATGGCAATAATGATGACAGCAGCAACAGTAATGAAAGCAATAACAACAATAAATAATTGTTATACAGGTCATGATAGTTATTTGCTAGAATGAGAGGGATATATTTCTAAAGTTCTAATTAATTATGAATTTTTTTTTTCAGGATTTGAAAGAAAATTTGGACAACCTGAAGGATATTCAAAGCCAGCTGGAGCAAAACATCCCCCATGTATGATCAATTATTAGTGAAAACATTTTTGGGATGACATTAAATGCATACATACATTGGAGTGTCTCACACTCTTGTCAATTTGTTTATCTACATATATTTTCTATATTTTTCTGCTGTAGTGTAACTGGCTGATTTTTATGTAAATCAGTATTTATAGTACAGCCTGAAGGCTAGAAAGTACTGGTAGATTTTGAAGGGATTCCTGGGATTAGTGGCCATTCGATCCTTCCTAAAAGTATTTTAGTGCACAATTTCAAAGTTGCCAGATTGCTATTTGATCAGTAAGCCTTTATTACACATACATGCTCTTCAATGGGAGTAATTATCTGTGTGTAACAGGAGTTATCACTTGAAAGGTTTGAGAACTGGGGTCATGAATGAAAATGGTTACTGAGAAACTACTAGGGGAGATGTGAATAAATGCTAGGGATTAACCTCATTAGGGTGGTATCCCCTCAAAGAAGGCTTGCAACAAACTGAATCACTTCAACTTTTGGGTACAAAAAAATCTGGGTTTAAATTCAGCATAAATTACACCTGCAACACCTGATCTCTTCAGATGGGTGGAAAAATTTTGGGAGACTTTTCTGCAGTATTTTGTTAATACATAGATAACATTTCTTAATGGTATGTCTTCTTTCTTCATAACAGAGTTTAGAAATGAATGAGAAACAGATCCTAGAGTGCCAGAGGAGAATCAAACAGCTGACAGAGGAACTAGAAAACAAAAACCATAAATTAGAGGTAAGCTCACAATTCAAAGTTTACATATCAGGTCATCATGGGTAAGAATTAACTCTGAAATAAGTTTTTTAATGTAAATCTGGTAATGAACCAACTGTGCGTTTTTGCTCTGATAAAGGAACTGAAGGAGAAAGCCAAGAAAACAGAGAGGACCAACAGGGTAAGAATCACTGTTTTTCCTGCAGTTGTATGAATTGCTTAAATAATGCGTCTAAGTGGTGGAAAGTTTAAGAAAGGGTTTGGAGGTTTTTGACTACTTTGGTAACCACTGTAAAGGACCATTCACCACCAGACTATTCCAGTGTTTCTACCAGTTTCAGTAGCGTGAGGTAGCTACAACCTTGGACGCACTTTGTTCAAAAATTCACATTTCAAATAATTAATTTTGTCCTAAAAAATGCACTCCCACCT